GGAAAAGGGGTAGATGTAAAAACAAATGTATATCTTAAACCGGGCAGGAGCAGCTACTAAAAAGCTCCTTTTGATGTCCACCATTTGTACTGAGATCACCTCACTCCAGAGCTGGTTCAAAGGTTGTCTGACTCTTCGGTGTGTTCAAGGATGGTTTTGCCACAGAGTAATGTGGAAGATGCAGGGTCAATTAGCTCCACTCAGAGCAGGTTGGTTGTTTCCAGCTCATACTTCTGTGTTGGAGGATGCTTCTTTCAGTACATCACCTGCTTGCCAAGGAGCCTGTAAAACTTATTGCTGTTTTTTTAACACATATGAAACATTCATTTTTTGGAAGCAGGCTCCTTAACTCTCTTTTGGCCTTTGAAGGTAATGCTGATCTCATTGCTGGCTGGAGGTGTTGGCCTGAACTTGACTGGAGGAAACCATCTCTTTCTCCTCGACATGCACTGGTAAAGAGAAACCAAAGTTCCATCTCTGAGAGCATATGTAGGGCATGCTGCTTGTTTCCTCACCACAGCTATTGTGATGTCTGATACAACTGGGTTAGGAGGGAAGTGTTTAGCTTAGAGTAATTAGTGATTAGTTGTGGCAAAGTGTTTTTACTACAGTCTTTGTCCAAGACACAGATTTGTCAACCCAGTGTTCACTGCTTTGAAATACAGTTCTGTATGGGTACAAAAATAAAGGAGTATAATAGCAATCCAGAGAGGCAGGTATGTAGTTCTGTATCACAAAAGGCTACTGGGGACTTGACAGTCTCTGGGTTCATTTCTTAGAGTCATGAAAATGGTACAGCAATGTCTACAGGCACGTCTTGAAACAAATGGGTTGTGTTGAGCATAGTCAGTAACTGGGCACAGCTGGTGCACCTTGGGGTTTTACATATTTTACTATGAAAATAGTGTGTGTGAGCTCCTAACATTTATGCTGTCTCTCATCAAAGTCAGAATCACAGGTTTTTTTAAATGTTGCATGTGGGAATTTACAAAGCAAACCAACAGTGCCTCAGTACAAAACCAGCTGCTGAGTAGCAGTGTTAAGGAGATGTTTCTACAATATGGAACCAACAAGGATTCCCTGTAACTCTGTCAAATGGAAATATTATGTAAATATTCTTGAGTGTTTGCCTCTTTCAATAGGGTTTGCTTTTTGGCTTCACTCTCTTTCCTCACCAGCTAATCAGCTTTCTCTGAGTACTGTTGGCCAGCAATATGGGGCCACATGGGCCAGTGGTCTGTGTCACACAGCTTTGTGTGGAGTTGTAGCATCCTTCTACCTAGAGCAAAGGGAAGTCCCCTCAGGGTGAATACTGGCCATCAAGCTGAATACTGGCCATCAAGACTAAAACTAGGAGCAGCTTTAGTTCTACAGAGGAAGAAAACAGGATGCACTGGAAGTAGGAAAATGAAGTAACTATTTCTTTTTTCCTTGCAGGAATCCTGCTCTTGAGGACCAGGCATGTGACCGCATTTACCGTGTTGGGCAGCAGAAGGATGTTGTGATACACAGGTCAGAATTTTACTTAAGAACAGACAATGCAGCTGCTGCTCATGTGCTGTCTGGATTTAGTCAGTGAGACAAGGCCTTGGTTTCCTTACTTGAAGCAAGACTCAGGGTCTGACGGTGGGATTTAGGTCTGGGCACTGAGATAAAACATTATATGTGGCACTTGGCCTGTATGTTGCTGTCCTGATAGCTATCAGAGGTTTCTTGTTTTTCAGCCTGTGGTTTAGTGGGAATGTCCTGTTTGTTCCTAAGAACAATTTGGGCACCAAACAATTTCTTTTTTCTTGAATGAGTAGAGATTTTTCACTGTGTGTTGCTGTCCTGGACCTTTTTAGTATCACTAACAAAAAAATATAATGCACTTCTAATAAGTGACAAACTTGACTTTTAGGAAAAGCATCTGTAGCTAAGTACTAAAAGGCTAGCATCAGACTGTTATTTGAAATGTTATAATATTTGGACATGAGGACAGCTGGTTTCTCTGCACAGGTGTATTTTGTCAGTCACATTATAGGCTGTTAATTTCTAAGTGGGACAAGTCTTTCAAAATTTACTGGGGAAGTACACATATATACACACATGTAATGCTGACACTTATTCTTAGCACTTGAGATGATGTGGCTTCATTTGTGGGGTTGGTTTTTTTCAGGTTTGTCTGTGAAGGAACTGTAGAAGAAAAGATCCTACAGCTTCAGAAGAGGAAGAAAGGTCTTGCCCAGCAGGTTCTGTCAGGCAAAGGAGAGGCGTTCACCAAGCTCACTCTGGCTGACCTCAAAATTCTCTTTGGCATCTAATTATCCTTTGCAATACCCAACAGAAAGTGATACATACCTACAAGTAATTCTGCAGACTTCAACAAAGGACTGATGTTTTTAGGTGGTCATTTAATTTGAACCAATAACTACATTTTAATGTCAGTTCTGGGAAGTTAACAACTTCAGGAATTTAATACTGAAATTAGATCACATATCCAAAGGTTAATAAAGTTATAAGTTAAGCTATTGCTTTAAAACACTTTTTAATAAATATTTAAAACAATAATGTGCATGTTTCTTGGTTTCCTTTGTGTACTTTTTAGTTAGAAAACATTCCTTTTCAGGGCAGGAGTTGCACAGGCATAAATGAAACAAGAACAAGGGATACAAGTATGAGGTAGGAAAGTTCAGAGGTTGAGTGGTGAGGATGGATGGTCATAAAGGAAGCAAAAAAATATTGTGAGCACAATGCTGTAAGAAGAGTATATAAAGTTTAGAATCTGTAACTAGCAAAATTCAGGAAGGACTTAGAGGAATACTTCACTTTCTCTTGTTCTTTAGGTGAACTTTTTTTTTTATCTAACTGAGCCATTTTTCTACCCTGCTCAAAATATTTATTCAAGCAGCAAAGTAGATTTCTCTTCTGTTCCTATGAAACAGAAGCTGAGTTCCTGATTGTTGTGGGTTATTTTTTTCTTCTGAGTATTAAATAGCATATGGTTTCCTTGGTGCAAACCTTTTAATGTATTGACTGTTCTTAGAAGATGGTCCCATTTTTATAGCAGCAGATGAGTTGCAAGTCTTTGGTTAATGGTTTATATTCTCTCTCCTGTCACAAGTGAGTGAAGTTTCTAGGCAAATCGTTTTTTGGTAGTGCATCTTCTCTGTTTCCATCTCCCTCTGCTATATCCCTGGCCATGTCCACTGTATATTCTGTTTTTCTATTGATGACACTATTTCTCTGGGATTTGTCACAGTTCCCCTAAGTTCCATACCAAAAAAGGGCCTTTCATGCATTTAGTTTTGATGCTATGTGGTAGAGCATGACAAATTAAGTGCTGCTAAGAAACTAGATCTTGGTTCCTGTATGGTCTCATTCCCCATGGAATAAGATAATAGCATTTGGTAGCATTTTGAGTGAAGGAGAGATCTATTTGCAGTGTCAAGGTGAAGTATGATATGGCTGTGTTGTTTCTCTTACCTGCCTTGACATGATGTGCAAGTGAAGCTGTAGGATTATTCCAAATTATTGCACAGGTACAGGGGCAAGGGGGACACAAAAATAGGAATTTGTATTTTTTTGGTGTACATATGTCCATAAATTCAATCATGGTGGAAGTATCTTGAGCAGCTCTGTCCTGGGTTGCAGTGTGGGGGTAGCCAATGGTATGTATTCTCCACAAGGGTTAAAGCAGCAAGTGGGGCAGTGATGGTTATCCCCTCCTGGTCCCTGATGGCTCCCCCGGGGCTGTCTCTGTTTAATGGGCTGTCTGGGACTCAGGCACGCAGAGAGTTACATGTCCCATGGTGAGATGCCTCACCTCGGGGGGTGAGGAAAGCTGAGCATCCCCACATGGGGGGGGAGCCAAGCATCCCCACAGAGATATAAGGTGGGGTTTGAACCAGCACAGGCACCCCCTTTTTAACCTGCTGGATCCCCAGAGGACAAGGATAGAATCGGACCTGCGGGACCACAGCTCCGACAGACCCATCACTCCAGGGGGACTGCAGCACCATTCAATGGGACTGCTATCAACGCCCTGACTGACAGGTGTCGGGTTACTTGCTGACTGTCAGGGGCTTCTTTCTTTTGGGTTGTTAATTTGTTGTTGTTTTGTTTGTGTTTCATATTAAATTGTACTTCTGACTCAGTCTCTCACCGGTTTGCTTTCAAACCAGCACAAGCTCCCAGAACCAATGAAATCTGTGCAGCTAGGGCAGTTGAACCACAGTCTCAGTTTGAGGAACAAAGGACACTGCTTATTTGCCTTGCTGTGCTGGTTTTCTGAAAAACATATCAGAACATGTGTTCAGCTTCATGAAACGGGAAGTCAAGGACTAACTTTCCAAAATTACTTTATTTTTGTTTGGATGTTTACTTGAGTGGAACTTGGGTCATGGTTTCTTCTCTAGAGTTTATCTGCACTCTGGTCTGAGCATCTCTACTCTTCCTTGGAGCTACGGTTAGCTTAGCAGGTTTCCCTCTTTAAGGTGTATTACTAAAGATAGTTTACATCAATCTCTTGTGCACCTTATCCCTTCATTCTCTGTGTCTGCCTTTGGCTGAGTGTAACTGTAGTCTCAATGCAGTGTAACTGTTGGGTGTATCAGATATTGCCATGGGCATTAATTGCTTTTTCTATTGCTGTGAAGTTCTCTCCGGGAAAGGGCTTCATCCTTTCTTAGGAAACCCAAACACCTTGTGACATATCAGACGACATTCAGTTTGGTTCAGAGGAAATTCTGGAGGTGAAAGTCTAGCACATACCCCTAGCTGCCCTCTCCTGAAACAGCAAATTGCTGCTGCAAAAAGGAGCGAATGGAGAGCAGGTGTGCTGGGCAGTTGGGGATGTTTGAAGGGATTTTGCGGCAGGGCAAAGCGGCAGAGCCGAATCGAGCCGGCCGAGCAGTGCGCACAGTGGTCAGGATGGCCGAGCGGTCTAAGGCGCTGCGTTCAGGTCGCAGTCTCCCCTGGAGGCGTGGGTTCGAATCCCACTCCTGACATGTCCTCATTTTTTTTCCGCCCACGCGCTGTGCGGTCCTGTTTTAACGCACGGTATCGCGAGCTGCCGGGGGACAGCGCGCTGGGGTGTGCCCGTGTTGGGCACAGGCGATGGTTTCCCGGTTGGCATTGTCTCCGCGCGCGCAGTGCTCGGGAGGCAGTGCTGCCATCACCCGTACGGACCGGCCGGTTAGCTCAGTTGGTTAGAGCGTGGTGCTAATAACGCCAAGGTCGCGGGTTCGATCCCCGTACGGGCCACACCGCTACTTTTGGTGCAGTTTCTCTCCCACTCTCTTCGTGCCGATCAGCCCAGCAAGCAAAACTTCCCCATGGGTGTCGCCTTGAGCTTGTCGTGCTCACCTTCAACGGCAAAAGGCGCCGCTGCTCTACTTACGGTTTCAACATCTTTG